TCAGCTCTTTATCTGTGCTGTTGAAAGGCTGGACCCATCTTCTCTTTTGTGCTAAGGAAAGTGGAACCACTATAGTACTAAAAATTGTATTTTTATGTGTAAAGCACACAGGACAAGTGTATTCCCTGCTACCCCTTTTTGTCATTATTTACACAAAAGAGAGAAAAGAGAAAGTCCTCCAGTTTGCCTTGTAATGACCTCTAAGGGAGTTATTTTAACACTCCCTGTGATGATCGACATGGTTTACACAGTTCACGTTTTATTATGGACAGCTGCACATAACAAACTTGTAGCCTGATCTGCAGCCCAGATCAGCTGAATCCACTGAACTGCGGCTGGCTAAATTCTGATCCTCAGCAAATGCATGCGGAAGAAAAAGACACTGAAAACATGGAATTTGTACAAATCTGGACAGGATCAGGGCACTGGCTGGCTTCAGTGGAACTACAGCGGCTGTCGCTCGCTGAACCTAAACACCCATATGTAGGGTGTCTGATAGCTTTGCTGAAATGTTAGCACTGTGCTTTAGCTGGGTTTCTGGAGCAAGCTACCAAATCGCTGTTTGGCCCAGAGAGCAGTGCTGGCCAAGCCAATTAAGTCAAAAATACTTGGATTTTAGTTGGTCGGTACCATCCGTCTGCCTTCAGAATCCCGCGAGGCGAACTTCCAGCCAAGTCCAGAATCCAGCTGACCTAGCCATAGCCATTGACCTTAAAGTAAACAAAACATTAGGGCTGTAGTATAAAACCCCACTGATTCCCACATGGGTAAACTGTTTTTTGGGGTAGCAGCTTAATACTTCACAGATATTTGAAGAAAAATCTCACTGGCTTAAACAGAGCATTCTTCAAGAGAACCGCGCCTCTGAATCACACAAATGTGGAATGCCCAAGTTACTCCTCAAGGCTGTGCCCACACTGGAGGGAAGCCCCTCCTTGGAGAAGAACCTGCTGGAAGCGAGCAGAGCATTCTGGCAAAGGGCAGGATCCAAAGGCGTGTGGAGTCCTCCTCCTGTCCAAATGCAGCACAGCTGGATGTAGCGCCCTTCGGAGGAATAATGGGCAAGTGGCCACTCCTACCAAGCCATGGCCAACAGGTTTGTGCAAGTGGCAATCATCCCGAATTTTGCATGCTGGGGCAGAGGACGCTCGCGGTACTGTGCATGAAGTTCTGTGCACCTGGACCACCCCTTTGGTGTTGGGATGTGTTTAGGTGAGTTGGATGACCCACATTTTTGAGAAACAGAGGATTATACACTCAGTGGCAAACACTGGGATGGCAACTCTGTGTGCCCGCGCGAAAGAGAGGGAGAAGGAGAGCGAACAACCCTTCCCCAGCACAACAAAAGTCTGTATTCCTTCCCCCCTCCAAAGAATTATACTGAACCACACGCGGATTGATGCTTGCTTTGCTCTCGGATTTTGTGCTTGTCTTGTTTGTATTATCACATACCTAAGCCCGCTAAGCTTTCCTCTGATCTGCCCAGTCAGCCCTGCAAGGAGGTCCCCGTTGAAACCAACCATTTGTTTCACGCCGGAATCCTCCGTAAAAGTGTCTTAATGAAAAATCCCTGGTATGCCTGTCATTGCACGCACGCACGCACGAAGAACGGGGTGTCGTGGCATCAGGAATTAAATGGGGAATCCTAGCGAGGACAAGGACAGGCACTAGAAAAGGAGGACGGGCTGCCTCCTGCTCTCCCCAAACAGCCAAGGAGACTTTTCTGCGACGGAGGCGGCTGCTGCAAGGTGCTGGCATCTGCCAAGCTGGCCGCTTTTGCAAGCCGCTCCGGCCACAAAAGGCGCCGTACTGCGCAGTGGGCGAGCGGACCCTTGCGCGGGGCGCTGCGCCCCGAGGAAGTCTGGATCCGTCGTACGCCCGGGTCCCGGCTGGCCAATTTCACCTGAGTGAAACTGGCCGGCAGGTGAACCGAGGACTGCGCCAGATTTCCTCCCAGCGCCAGGGCCCTTCCAGGCGAAGCAGGATCCGAGCGGATCGCAGCCCCGCGGCAGCGCCAAGACCGGCGCGAAGGCCTCGCCACCTCCGAGCGAGGAGCCAAAGCGGGCGGCCTGCCTGCCTGGCCTGCGGATCGTGCAGCCCCGTCGCCCCTCGACCGGGGGTAGTTTTCGCGTCTCCCCTTCGGGGAGGGCGGCGAGAGAATCCGGCTGCCAGCGTGTTCCCGGTGTCTCCAACGACACAGGCCGGCTGGAGTTCGCTGGAGGCGGCACGGCCTTTGCCACCGCAGCCACGATCCCGACCCGCGACAATTATATTGCCGTGGAACTGCCGGCGCGATGCAGAACGCAACCCTGTGAACGCAGAGGGAGAGAGAGGCGCAAAGCGGCCCGCCCGTCGCCTGAAAACGAAAGACGCAGCCCTTCTGCGGTGCCTCGGGCCATCGCGAAGGGCTTCCCGGAAAAGCCAGCCCGGTGCTTCGGCCGCAGGCGAAATTTGAGGTCGCCCCAATCCATCCCTGCAGCCTGCGCTCGCCCGCCCGCCCGCGCGTTGCACTTTGGCTTCAGGAATCGGGCGTGAATGGCCGGCATAATCCGGGCATCGAGCGGGCGCGATCCCTCGCTCATCCGCGCTCTGCCCTCGGCGCCTCTGCCCCGGCCGCTCGCGGGTGCTTCCCGCTGCCCTCGCCTCCCCGTTCGGAAGCGGGATCCCGGCGGGCCCGAAGCCGCCCATGCAGCGAAGCCCGCGCGGGTGCCTATCAGCCGGGCCCGTCCGTTCTGCAGCCTCCGGAGGTCGTTTCACGAACCGGGGAACCGCTCTCGACTCTCGGGTCTTCGCAAGACACGCGGCGCGGTTTTCTGAGCGGGGCGAGGCGGCCGATTCTCGCAGAGAGATTCCTCGGTTTTCTTTAGGGCGGGAGGCAGGGGAATTATCAGTCAAAAGGAAAAGGGAAAGCAAGAATTGGGCGGCTACCTCCCCTTCCCAGGAGACCTTCCCCGAAACCTCGGCGTCCATACCACATCCAAAATGCATTCATTTGCAGGTTCAGTTCAGACAGTCGCTGGGCCCATTCCAGGTCTCGATTTGCAATTTATCCGAAGTGCAAATCGGAGCACAGAGCCCAACAGTAACTCCCCTTGCTATTAGAAAGAGGTTGCTATTTTCCCCATTATTGCTTCTAAGGCAAAACGCAATGCAGCCCACCCGCAGAGGTCGGGACTGACTCCGCTAAGAGCAAGATGACCCGGCTGTGCCCGCAAACCCGTGTGCAACCGAAATGATGCGGGGCAGGAGCCACCGAAGCCTTCTTTTGCTCAGGACCGGAGCTGCGCGAGGGATGCGCAGGATCTCGGTGGATCGTGCCCTTCGGAGGCGCGGAGAGGCGCAGAGCGCTGCTTCTGCGGAGGCGACCCCGAGGGGCCCTCGCTCTCGGCAAAGCCCCGCGAGGAATACCCTTTGGGAAAGAAAGCAGCATCTCCCCGAGGCAGATCGACGGCGCAGGCGGGCGGCCGCGGCAAGAAGGCCCCAGCACGGCCGGCATCGCCCCCGTGTCGCCCCTAGCAAGCCAGGTCGCCCCTCGGCTGTGTGCAAGCAAGCGCGGCTGCCCCTTTGCAGGCACGTTTGAATGGGCAGCTCTCGGGTCTTCCGGGGATGCAGGAATTGGGGCAGACAGTTTGGTCGAACAGTTATCGATAATGTTCTTGCAGGATTGCAGTAAATTTAAGCAAGTGGATGGGGCAAAGACAGATCGCGTTTTTCTCACGTACACCCCCGTCGCACGATTATTGACGCGTAATGTTCAGGGAGCAAGTAGGTTTTCATTCCATGCTAACCACCATCACCATTCAGTGTGTTGTGTTTATAAGAAACAGCCGTCATTTTAATTATGGCTGGAAAGATTTTACGACAACGAAAATAAAAGAAAGCATCCCCATCAAGAGGAGTTTTTAAAACAAGAGGCCTTTCTGACCGTGTTACAATTCTCAGAATATATTTTAGTTATTCTTCTCAGGACAGAACTGCTTGAAAACGGGAAAAGGTAAACCACCAGCAAGCAAAGCCGATTTCCTCTTGCAGGAGGCCCCGATCCTCCCTCTCGGCAAACTTCGGACTAAGCCGTGACAGCAAGGGGGCCTCGTTCCGAGGAGACCTGCAGCCAAGCTGCGGCGGGGGCACGAGCGGCCGGCGGGCAGCAACGCGTTTCCGGCACCGCGCCGAGCAGGCCTGTGCGCCAGCCGAGGCGGGCCGGGGCGCGGGGGCCAAGCCGCTCGCCGCGGGTCCCCCCGCCAGCCCCCGCCGGGCTCGAAGGCGCAGCACTCCCTGCGCTCGGGCGCCAGGCGCCCGAGCTGCCCCACGGAAGGCAGGGTCCGGGCCCCGTTGCCCCTCCGCGCCTCTTTCCGGGAGGCCCATGCCCGACTGCGCGGGTCCATCGGGGGCGCCCTCCCGTCCCTGCCTGGAATGAGCGGGGTTGTCGAGTCTGGCCCCGGCGGCCTGGCCTCAGTCCCCGGAGAGATTCCGCTCCTCTTCCCAGGTCCCCCCTCCTCCGGCACGCCAGGGCCGGTCCAGCGCCCTCGGCCATGCCTTTAGGTGGGCCCCTTCGAATTCCAGGTGAGATTTGCCCGCTATAAATAGCCACCGGGGGGCCGATCTATTCCTGTCCCGCTCGTTGGCAGGAAGCGAGATGCAGGCCCGCCGGGATGAGCCAGCGAGAGGCTCCCGCTCAGCACAGAGGTCCCACGTTCGGGACCGGCTGCGGAGCGCAGCGGAACGTGCCTTCTTCGAGGCGCCGGCGGAAGGGCGCCGGCTAAGCCGAACCGAGGGATCCCCCGCCGCGGCGGGCGGGAGGGAGGGAAAGGGCGCCGCCGCCCGAGCGGTCCTCGCCAGCGGCGCCCCCGCACTCGTCAGGCCAGAGCCCGGGCTCCTGCTAGGCCATGCTGCGGCCGATGCTGCGGGCCCCGTGCGCCGCTCTTCTGCAGCCAGCCCGCTGCCGGCCCGAGTCTGCACCGCGGGCGCCCCCTCGCCCCCGCCTCCGCCCACGGACTCACCGGCGTTGAGGTCCAGGCACTGGGCGGGGTCGTCCGGGTCCGGCAGCTGCCCGTCGGGGCTGAGGCTCTCCATGGACAAATCCAGGCCCTTGTCGTCCCAGTCGCGGAGCTTCCGCTTCTTGTTGGAGCCGATGAGCGCCTCCACGGAGAAGGCGTGCGCTC